ACGTTTCCGCTACGCTTGCACTATGCCTTTCTAGCATGGTATCAGAGCTACTCTAGGGGGCATGCTGCCAAATTTGGTTCAGAAGTTTACTGACATTTACTACGGATAGGTGTGTGCATACATTCAGAGTACCGCACACCTGGTCTACGCTAGTGTATACCTGGTGTACGGTTTGATCAACATCATGGCGCACTTCGACGATGAAGAAGATGCAGGATATGCGGCTTTCGAGGAAGCCATATTGGCTCAGCACGAGCGCCTGGAAAACATGATCGCAAGGGCACCACCTGCACTTCAGGCATCACTACGGGTCAAGTTCAACATGCCAACGAAAACACACTCTGACGGGCTCAACAATCCGTCCACTCATGAGCAATCTCATTCAAGCACTCCTCGTACTAACCAATCTCGTGCATCAAATGTTCATGCAGGAATTGATGGTGACGGAGAAATGGGCATACCTCAAGGAGGAGAGTCATTCCAAGGGAGGGATGCATCCGTCCAAGGAGAGGAGAGCGCAAATCCCGCACCTCAATCGTCCATGCAAAAGGAAGCATGGTGGAAGAATGATGAGTATGGGAGTGCAGTGCATGGTGGAATGAGAAGAGGACAGATTGGGCAGCAGGGTGATGGAAATGGTCAAGTGGGTGTGGAAGGTGTGGGTTTTACCTCCTACACTATTGGTGCTCCCCCACTACGATGACTTGCAACTAACTCTCATCCCATTGGAGTTCTTCCCATGCCCAGGTCTCACCTTCATGGCGACAACATCATCACTCCACGTGCACATCGTCCACCAATCAGCGCACACTCTGTGGCCAGCATGGGGCGGATGGGATACGGACTGCAGTCAAGCGGTGTCATGCGACGGGATAAAGTGGAAGGCTGGAACGTCAACTTGGTGGACAGAATGGAGATATGCGGAGCACGGTACAGCTACCTCGACCCTCAACCATGTCTACTCTCCTCGACCCCGCACCACGTGAATATACGGACGAAGAGAAGGAACGGCTGTCACGGAAAATGGTGGGAGGAATGGTGGACAAGGCATTCACCACCACTCCATTTGACGGCTCAAATTTCCGCGAATGGGCACTGCTGTTTCGTATGAACGCTCGAGTCACGAATCCGTGGGAGTTCTTTGTGACCCTACAGTATCCGGTTACCATGGGACATGGCGACATTGACGACGCAATGGAGCGGCTGGAAATGCTACAGGCGGATTACTCACAGCGTGCGGCACTCGCCTTTTGGGTCCTATTGCACAGCGTGAGCGCCACGATTCAGCTACAGCTAGACATGTTCCAGGAATCCTACAGCCCGGCTTATGAAGCATGGGAGTATTTAATGGACACTTACCAGGCCAAAGATTCGGTGGCGAAGGTCTCTCTGATGAAGCAGTTGGACAACCTGAAAATGGGGAATCAAGAGAGGGTGGAGGAGCATGTGAACCGCGCAACGGCGATTCGGGACAAGTTGGCACTGGCGGGAAAGATGGTGGACGAGGACACATTCACCTTAAATCTGCTCAACGTGACGGACAGCTTCACTTTGCAGCGGATGATGATTCAGGAACAGAGATATCACGACCTCATCACGAAGGCTAACCATGACCGGCGTCCACCTCGCATGGCTGGACAAGCCCGTGGAGAGCGTTCACCTTCTCCAACTGCTAAGGGCAATAGCGGGAAGAAGGAGGGGTACGTTGGAGAGAAAACACATGGCAAAGATGGAGATGCAAGTCACTCATCTCTCGTGTGTTGTTACTGCAAGGAACCAGGCCACCCCTTCTTCAGGTGTACCAAGGCACCCCCAGGCTGGACCCCACCAGGGTGGGATCCGAATACCCGCGGAAAGGCAAAACTGCACACCAGCGACAATCATTCGTTCTCTCCACGAAGGAGTCGCAGCCCCAAGCATGACAACTATGTGTCGAAATAGCAAGGGGCAGCCGGGGAAGACAAGCAACAGACTGTTACCTGCATTGCAATAGTGCAGCCGTCGCAAGCAACCTCACCTTCAACTGGAGGGTCGTCGTGGTTGCTGGACAGCGGATGTAGCCAGCACATGACTTCGAAGAAGTGCTGGTTCGAAGAGTTAAAGGAGCTCGACGAAGCTGTTTATGTGGAGCTCGCTGATGGGAGCAAGCTGAGCAGCACGATGACAGGAACGATTAGAGCAATAGCACCTAATGGGACAACAGTTCGCTACACTGAAGTACTCTATGTACCTGGCTTGAAGAACAACCTGCTCTCCTATTGTCAGCTACTGAAAAAGGGGGCTCATATCAACACGGTTACTGATGGAGACATCGAAATCACTATGACTGATGGAGATGAGTACGTGCGGATTTGGACTTGGCAAGGACGTGGACGGGGTGCTCGTGGTGGAGTATGAACCGGCACTTACATCCGCTCATGATTCTGGACATTCCCGCGATGGTGCGTCATCAAAGAAGCATGGTTGTGAAGGGGGTACACCTTTCCCCACACCTGGAGTGCACTTGGATACCCACGGAAGCACGCTTTTCCGCACACGTGAAGTGCACTTGAGTGCACGTTATGCACACACATCGGTTCAATACCGCATGGCACACAAAGCCTACATCGTGCGACAGCCGGCACATGATGATACCACGGATGAAGTCTCACCCCACAGTGTGGTGGGGAGAAGGACAGAGGTCCGCAATCACTAAAGGTAATGGAGGCGACGGAGCGGACTCTACAAAAGAAGACTTACCTGGAGCTGACGCAGCTGATGAAGTCAGTGCAGCCGAAGGAAGCAGAGGCACTGCTGATGACTTACCTGGGAGAGCTGTCTCCGTCCCGGAAGGTGTGGAAATTGATGATGTGGGAAGTGCGATGGTCAAGCCAAGCGGGCAGCATCTTACCTGACGATCTGCTGAATGGTCTGCTGAGCAATCATTAAGTCAAGTGTTCTGGTGCGGCTACCTCGAGCTGTGCTGCACACCATGGCATCACCTAACTCCACACTCACTCACGTGCTTGTAGCTGTGTACGCGGTTACGTGCATGACTATAAGCACATGTGTGGGGGGGAGGTGGGGTGTGGAATGTACCTGCAGGCACTGGAGTGGGACACGGAGTCAAGAAGCATATGGGGAAGACATACTCACCAAGGGTTGCCAATAGGCAGGGGGAGCAGGCAGAATGGATGCAGCAGGTCGTCATCCGTCGTGCTGCAGCGGTATCGTGTGACTCGTTACTACGGTTGAACAGCACCACATGAAGGAAGAATGGAGAACATACATGGGAGCACACAAATTTCTGCATTCCTGGTGTGCACATTACGGCATACTTGGAGTATTCATTACTGCATACATGGGGGCACATTACTGCATACTTGGCACCCACTGCATACTTGGAGTGCACCTGTCAACTCGAGCTGATGGAGTTCGGCACCTGGATTATAGGGGGAGCGTCACAGGGCAGCATGGGTGAAGTTCGAGCAGACTTCTCATCATCTGCTGGTGTGCATTCAAGACTTGCACAACCTGATGCCATCACATCACGAGGCAGGGGGAGAAGGGCAAGGTCTATACAGAAAGGCAGGAGAGGAAGACAGGGGGAGAAAAGACCCACGAAGATACAGCAAGCGCGGACAGGAAAATGGTGCAGCAGACGCGCAGCAGATCGTCAGCCACTAACACACGCCAGATCGTCGCTTCTACCGCACGCCGTGTACGCCTGCCAATGCAGTTCTGCGCCAGCCGCACGCCATGCGTTGTCCGCTACTGCTTCGCGCCATCCGCAACTGTAGTCGTCGCAGACGCGCATCCGCTGCAGCGTTTTCGTCGTCGCATAGGAGGCATGCGAAAAAGACAACAGCACTGACAATCGCGTGACGTAAATTTGACGATTTCGGAAATTCGGCGTGCGCTAAGGGCATTCCGCCATGACGATATACGCATTTCGACATGGTTTTGAGGATATTTCGTCATGGAGCTGCTACGATTTCCTCAGATGTAGCCATTACTCATTGGATCTGGATCTGGAAAGTCGAGATCGAAAGGAGGGTTTGGAAAACGTGAGGAAAGATGGTTTGGTTGGAGTTGGAAGCACCGAGAGTTTGGGAAGGGCAAAATGACAAGCGGCTTGGTGAACACCAAACCCTAGCTTGGCTTCGGTTGGGAGCACCCCTACCTCTGCTACGGTGGTACACCACCTTATCCACCCCATCCTCCAAGAAAGACGAATTCACTAAAACCTACAACAAGGGGGGGTGTTGGAAAACCGAATACAGTATAACGAATACTGTATACCAGTGCTGTTTGGTTTTAGTGTAGCCTCCATGATAAGGGGGGGGAGATTTACTGTTCCCTTTGAACAGTACTTTCCAACTCACCCTTGTCCTTATCCTCCTTGATTTCCTTGTGCCACCTGGCACTCTACTTTTCTTGCTTCTACTTTCTAGTCCCACGAAGTACTCTCCATCATTAGATCCTGCATGCTATATCAACCTTGCTTGTATTCCCCAATATCAATCAATTCTCAACCCATTTCCAATGCAAGCTATCTTGTTCTTTCTACAAACACGTTTCCGCTACGCTTGCACTACGCCTTTCTAGCACCAACATTCTCTTTCAGTCATTCTGTTGTTCCACTTCTGACACAACCCACCCAACTGCGAGTGTACCGCCTTTCGCACACGGTAGTAATGCCTTGCGGAATGACCAACCCCCCCGCCAGTTTCCAAGCGAATCGTTCCTACCTCTGGTAGATAAGTGCGTCATTGTACAAGACTGACAACATCAGCCATGTTACAATAGCATTTGTAGTGCCTTTGCATGGACCAGTTTCCCAACATGACCCCAAGTCCACACCAGGGTATCAAGCTCTCCGTAACAGCTTGCCAGTGTTGCAGCCATCTCTCTGCTGATGAGCTTCTGAAAGCACCACTGCCATGGAATGATTGGCATGCATAAAGTCACGCTCCACCCCCATCTCTCCAGTCCCCCCAAGCACGAGCGGGGCGGTCAGATCAGATGCCGCTCCAGCGCTCGCCCAGCAGGGCGAAGGAGGCGGGCCTCTCGGGGTCGCAGGAGTCGGTCCACTGGTTGCGCGCGCTGCGGTAGTGGTGGCGCGCGAGCAGGTAGATGGCGAGGGGGCGCAGCGAGAAGAGTGCGGCGGTCTTGGAGAAGCCCGACTCGGTGACCACGAAGAGCGAGCAGCGCGTCAGCAGCACCCACTCCGCCACCGACGTCTGCCACGACGCCACACGCGCCGCTGCCGCGCGCACCATGGCGGTGTGCAGCGGCGTGATGCCCGTGGTGAGCACCTTGCTGTCGCCGTACTGCGCCAGCACCGCCTCCTTGATGTCCCGCGAGTTGCTCAGAAACACCCACCGCACCGCCACATCCCCCGGGATCCAAAAATCCTCCACCTTCTACTCGTGTGCGCGTGGCGCGTGCCACATGCAGTACGTGTGGCAGAGCGGTGAGCGGGATGGAAGGGGAGCCAACAACGTGATTAGCAACGTGGTCACATGAAGAAAAATTGACAAGATCACCAAAGAAACAGGCAAGAGGAGCTTTGTCCCTCACCTGTGCACATGCCAAGAGCTTGTTTCTGGCCCATCCCAGCAGCTCTGCAGCAGCGTCATTCTCCCCACCAAGCACCTCCCCTCGATTGGTCCACGTCATCTCGTCGGGCGTGCGCGTGTGGATGCAGATGCTGCTCACCCCCGGCCGCTCCACCTCCCTCATCTGCTGCTCCACCGCCCTCAACACTTCCAGCTTGGGCCTGCCCCACACATGGTGGCACCGCGAGCAACGCAGTGCAGGGCGGGGGGAGGGGGGAGCAACACAGGTGGAGGAGAGGGGAGAACACACATGGAGGAGGGGGGAGGGAGGGGGTGACGCAGCTGTAGGGGTGTCTCATTGCACAAAACTTGAAAAGCCAAGGAGAGTAGAAGACATGATGAGCCAAGGAGGATGGAAATGGGTATGACAAGCCAAAGAGAGTGGGAATCGGAACTTGTGACAAGCGCACGGGGACGGGGGAGCATCACAGGTGTATATGACGCTTCTGTAGTGTTGACTCATGCAACACATTTAACAAGCAAAGGAGAGTGGGGAGTGGAAAGTGAAACACATGAGAATCCCAAGGAGAAATGAGTGGGGCAACATAGGCATGGGCAACGGCGCAGGAGCTGAGTGGGGAACCTGAGACAAGGCACAGGAGAGTGGGGAACCTGAGACAAGGCACAGGAGAGCAGATGGCACCTGAGCAGGAAGCGGATGGCACCTGAGCAGGAAGCGGATGGCACCTGAGCAGGAAGCGGATGGCACCTGAGCAGGAAGCGGATGGCACCTGAGCAGGAAGCGGATGGCACCTGAGCAGGAAGCGGATGGCACCTGAGCAGGAAGCGGATGACGCAGCCGAAGGAGACGGGCAGGCGCAGGCCGAGGCGGTGCAGCAGGCGGCTCCAGTCGCCGCCCTCCCTGAAGAGGCGCGTGGCCACCCCGCGGTTCCACCGCACTCGCATGTTGGCCGCTGCCTCGTGGCGCGCGAAGAACGCCTCGGGGCTGGGCGGCACCGTGTCCTGCAGATTCACGTCCGTCACCTCTCCTGGCTGCGCCTCTGCATGCAGGACGAGGGAGGCATCGAGAGGTAGGGGGAGGTAAGGGTGAGGGCGAGGTATAGAGGGGAAGGAAGAAATGGAGGACGAAGAACGCAGAGAGGCTGGGATTGAAAGGGTGGAGCAAAAGAGGAGAAGCGTGCAGGAAGTAAGGGTGAGGCATCCCAGCGCTGTCCACCTGGCCACGTCCCCAAAGTCCCCCGCATGGTGCGGCGGCGGCTGCTGCTGCTGCTGCGCACCATCGGTGGGGTTGTTGGGGTCGAGCTCCCGGCCCGCCCCCCAGGGCACGTCGTCATCGAGGGTCCAGTTGACGTGCGCGGGGAGGAAGGCGTGGTGCAGCAGCGGGTGGCTGAGCACGAGGGCGCGGTCCTGCAGCAGCGCGATGAGGAACGTGGAGAACACGCCCAGCAGCACGTCGCCCACGCCGCCACACCGCGCCAGCGACTCACACGAGTACGTCGCAAACCGCACCATGCCCGCCATGCGCGCCGCCTCGCCGCCGCCTTCCCCGTCCCCGCCACCCCCTCCACCTCCCTCCTCGTCATTCCGCGCTTCCCAGACCCCGTCCCCATGCCCCCTTCCTCCCCCAGCAGCACCACTGGTGCCAGCCGAGTCAGTCTGGCGGGCCTGCACGAGCTGGCGCGCGGCGGAGCGGATGATGCGGTGCAGATGGGTGTAGTTGGTGTGCCATGCGCCGCACACCTCCTCCCGATACGCCCACCCCCACGGGTCCTCCGCGCCTCCCAGCCCGCCCTCCACGTCTATGGAGGCGACACGTGGCGGGCTCTGATTGGGTTAAGACGAGAGAGTGGTGGGAGGGTGGTGAAGTCCGATGAACACGCATAGCGGATGCGACGCAGAGCAATGCGACGCAGTGATGGGAAAGGGGTGCCCGGCGCCGTCAAAATGGGCGCGATGCAGCGGGGAAGGCGGCATGGCTGGCTACGGGGACGCGGGGGCGGTGAAGAGCGAGGGCTGGAAGTGCGGTGCTGCGATGATCGAAGCGAGCAAAGGACTCACTTGCGTAGCGAGGAGAAGGACGAGCACACATGATGCTATGCGCCACGAGTACGGGACCACGTGTCGCACGCTCGTTTGCCCACCGATCGGCTTCCGCTGAATCAAAGACTCTCGACCTGCGCGTCGCTTCCCGTTCTGCTGCTCCCAGTCTGCGTTCACATCAGCCATCTCTCGTCGAAACCTCACCACCTCAAGCTGCTCCTTTTCGCTTCCTCCGATCGATCGCATACTTTACAGGCCATCTCGTCTAGTTGGCTAGACTAATTTCCACAGCCCAGCGGAGCTGTGTACGTGTTGCAAGGTGCGCTATTGCTGGACGATCTAGCTGTTCGCATCACAAGTGCGCCAACAATAATACGCGCTAAAGAGATTTACGAAAGCTTCGGTTGCGTCCAGTTCATTTCTGATTGTAACGACGTGGTAATAGTGCCAAATCAATGACTCTTGAAGTGGCCAAGGTAGAAGAATGTGTCACTTCTAATTGTTGTGGTTCCGTTCCAACCCCCGTAACGGCGAGATCTGCCAACGCCCCACAAGGGGGTTTTGCATGCGCTCATCTGGGATTGGATCGTCCTACCGATACCCAACGAGCAGGGCCCAAAATTGGTTTAGGCCTACCCTTACAAATCAGGGTTCCAGCCCCTCCTTAGCCCGACCCCTAGGGTAAAAATTTGCGTACCCTGTTTGCAGCAGGGTAAATCAACCAATAGCCTAATTTGAGCAGGGTAATTTTAGGCTAAGCCTGTTTCGGCTACTACCGTATTTTGTGAGCTAAGCTTTTTATACTAACATAATAAAGTAGCACTCACAACAGGGGTCTGACAGGGCGAATCTCGTGTAAGGGCGAATCTGCTCTTGTGTCAGGGTAATTCCGCTGTGATTGGGCAAATTTTCTGCTCTCTGACAGCGCAAAATTGTGATTGGGCGAATTTGCTGTGCTCTGACTGCACGAAACTACCGTGCCAGGGCGAATTTGCTGTCAGGGCTTTTTGGAAATGTCTGTTTGTGTGAGTGTGGTATAGTTCGTCACCACCAGGGCCCAAAATTGGTTTAGGCCTACCCTTACAAATCAGGGTTCCAGCCCCTCCTTAGCCCGACCCCTAAGGTAAAAATTTTCGTACCCTGTTTGCAGCAGGGTAAATCAATCAATAGCCTGATTTGAGCAGGGTAGTTTTAGACTAAGCCTGTTTCGGCTACTACCGTATTTTGTGAGCTAAGATTTTTATACAAACATAATAAAGTAGCACTCACAACAGGGGTTTGACAGGGCGAATCTCGTGTAAGGGCGAATCTGCTCTTGTGTCAGGGTAATTCCGCTGTGATTGGGCAAATTTTCTGCTCTCTGACAGCGCAAAACTGTGATTGGGCGAATTTGTTGTGCTCTGACTGCACGAAACTACCGTGCCAGGGCGAATTTGTTGCCAGGGCTTTTTAGAAATGTCTGTTTGTGTGAGTGTGGTACAGTTCGTCACCACGCGGAATAAGGCCTGATGCGCGGTAAAGAAGTTTCGGTATCAGGGTAGTCTACACCCTACCCTGACAACGTCAGGCTAACCATAAATCCAATCAGTGTAAGAAAAAACATGCTCTTTTTGCAGAAGGGTAACTATCGTGCAATCCTGATTTTGGCAAGGTAATCCTGAAAAAGTGGCCGCCCCCTAGGGTAATCAGGGTGTTTTACCCTGATATTTTGGGCCCTGGTCACCACGCGGAGTAAGGCCTGATGCGCGGTAAAGAAGTTTCGGTATCAGGGTAGTCTACACCCTACCCGGACACTGTCAAGCTAACCATAAATCCAATCAGTGTAAAAAAAAACATGCTCTTTTGCAGAAGGGTAACTATCGTGCAATCTTGATTTTGGCAGGGAATCCTGAAAAAGCGGCCGGCCCCCAGGGTAATCAGGGTGTTTTTGTCAAACATTATATATGTTATACTTGTGTAGGCTACAGTGGGTTAGCCTATAGGGGGTACACAATTCTAGGGTTTACTACTTGTACTCTTTTCACTTCTAGTTGATCCATTCCTGTTCGCTTATTCTCACATGGTATAGAGCGGGTCCTTCTACGGACCGTTTTTTTTTTGGGCCCACCGAAGCGCCCCCCGAGGCGCGATCATTTTTTTTAGCGACCCCTCGGGTCGCCATTTCCCCTGCGGCCCCGCCGCCTTCACTGACGCGGCCCCGCCGCCCTCTCTGTCGCGGCCCCGCCGCCTGCTCTCACGCGGCCCCGCCCCGGCTCCTTCGCGGCCCCGCCGCCTGCTCTCGCGCGGCCCCGCCCCGGCTTCTACGCGGCCCCGCCCCGGCTTTCACGCGGCCCCGCCGACGGCTTTGTCGCGGCCCCGCCCAGGCCCTTACGCGGCTCCGCCGCCTGCTCTCACGCGGCCCCGCCCCGGCTCCTTTGTGGCCCCGCCGCCTGCTCTCGCGCGGCCCCGCCCCGGCTTCTACGCGGCCCCGCCCCGGCTTTCACGCGGCCCCGCCGACGGCTTTGTCGCGGCCCCGCCCAGGCCCTTACGCGGCTCCGCCGCCTGCTCTCACGCGGCCCCGCCCCGGCTCCTTCGCGGCCCCGCCGCCTGCTCTCGCGCGGCCCCGCCCCGGCTTCTACGCGGCCCCGCCCCGGCTTTCACGCGGCCCCGCCGACGGCTCTGTCGCGGCCCCGCCCAGGCCCTTACGCGGCCCCGCCGCCTGCCCCCGTCGCGGCCCGGTCACCTCCTGACGGCCCCGCCGTCCCTTCGTGACGGCCCCGCCGTCCCTTCTTGACGGCTCCTGCCGTCCCCTTCTACCGGCCCCGCAACTGCACCTGCTGGCCCCGCCGCTGCACCTACCGGCCCCCACCACCCACCCCCCCTTTTCCCGTCGCCGGTCGAGGCGACCTGAGGGGGCCGCTTGAGAGGGGAGAGGCCCCCTCAGGTTGCCTCGACCGGCGACGGGAGAGGCCAGCAGAGGGGTGGCAGGTGTGTGGCCTCCCCTGCTTCTCCTCCTCCTTCCTCTCCCACTGCAGCAGCCGAGCCGCTCACCTGCAGCAGCCGAGCCGCCCCACAGCCGAGCCGCCCTGCCGCCGAGCCGCCGGGTCGCTGAGCTGCTGAGCTGCAGTTGCTGCCGAGCCGCCCTGCCGCCGAGCCGCCGAGTCACCGAGCTGCTGAGCTGCAGTTGCTGCTGAGCCGCCTTGCCGCCGAGCCGCCCGAGTCGCCCGAGCCGCCGAGCCGCCGAGCTGCCGAGCCGCTGAGTCGCCGAGCCTACTCTTCCCACCACTGGTGAGCTCTTGCCCTGCTAGCACGCTGCGCGTCGCCTGCTTGCCTGCCTGCCTGCCTTTTGGCTTGCCTGGCTGCCTGCCTCCCTGCTGCTAGTCCTGCTCCTGCTTCTACTTGCGGAGCCAAATGCAGCCCCAGCGACGCCGGCGTGAGTCCCTCACGCCCCAGCAGCTGCGTGAGTGGTACGCTGGTTGGGGCTGTAGGGGTGGCGACGCTACTCCTACTACCACTCCTGCTGCTTCTACTCGTGGTGACGGCCAGATGCAGCTCCCGCGACCCTCTCGCGTGTCTCTCACGCCTCGCCAGCTTCGTGAGTGGTACGCTCAGAGTGGAGGGTCTCTCAGTGCTGTTCGCTGCTCTTACGTGATTCGCACTGGTACTCGGACTGGTCAGCCTTGTGGGACACGTAGTCATACACCGTCCCGCTGCTTCGCCCGTCTGAGCGACGCCTGGCGTACCGTGTTTGGCGACGAGGCTGAGCTTCCCGACTGGGTGGAGTTGCTTAGGCAGAGGGTAGATATATATGCTCTTGACTATGATGCTATTCTCACTGCCATGTATGCATTGCCTACTAGTGCTGACCGTGCCGGTCACCTGTGCGTCCCGCCTGACCCAGGTATAGGACCTGCTGCTCTAACTACTGGTGAGGCTGCTGCTCTGGGTGCTAGTGAGTCTCCTGCTCCAGGTACAGGTGTGGCTGCTGCTCTAGGTGCTAGTGAGTCTGCTTCCTCAGGTGCGGGTGAGGCTGCGCTCTCAGGTACCGCGTTGGCTTCGGCCTCCCTCACCTTTACACTTGACTCTGGGGCTTCTCGCTCCTTCTTTCGGGACCGCACCACACTCACGCCGCTTGGTCGGCCAGTTGCAGTCTCCCTGGCTGACCCCTCTGGGGGTCCTGTCCTCGCTCACTTCTCCACTATCCTCCCGTGTCCGGCTGCCCCCTCGGGCACCCTGTCTGGCCTGTACCTCCCCTCGTTCTCGACGAACTTGGTGAGTGGTGCAGACCTACAGGATGCGGGGGTTCACCAGTTCACTCCTGCGAGTCAGCGGGTGACCCACTGCACGGACGCACGCACAGGCCGGCACCTGGCCACGTTCTCGCGTCGGCCGGGGTCGAGCCTCTACACCCTGACCACTGAGTCTCCTCCTGTCCCCGCGTCCGGTCAGGTAGCAGCGTCGGGTCAGGTGTTTGCTGCTGCGTCCAGGTCTGGTCCTGAGTCTGCCCCCTGTACTTGTCGCCTCCTGTCTCACGAGACTCTCCTGTGGCACCACCGTCTTGGCCACCCCTCCTTGCCCCGTCTTCGGAGCATGGCTTCCCGTGCCCTTGTCTCTGGTCTTCCCCAGTCTCTCCCTCCTCTCCCCTCCGGGCCAGGACCTTCCTGTGTCCCCTGTGTCGAGGGTCGCCTCCGGGCTACTCCTCACTCCTCCCACTTCCCCCCGACAGAGGCTCCCCTGCAGACGCTTCACATGGATGTGTGGGGCCCAGCCCCCGTCCGTGGGCAGGATTACGAGCGCTACTTCCTGTTGGTGGTTGACGACTACTCGCGTTACACCACAGTCCTCCCCTTGCGCAGCAAGGGTGAGGTCACTGAGGTGCTGATCGACTGGATCCGCGAGGCTCGTCTCCAGCTCAGGAAGAGCTTCGGCTCGGACTTTCCTGTTCTGCGTCTGCACTCGGACAGAGGCGGAGAGTTCTCCTCTGGCCTTCTACGTGCCTACTGTCGTGCGCGAGGCATCCGCCAGTCCTTCACGCTTCCGGACTCACCACAGCAAAATGGGATTGCTGAGCGCCGCATTGGCATGGTCATGGATGTCGCTCGTACGTCCATGATGCATGCGGCTGCCCCCCATTTTCTGTGGCCGTTTGCGGTGAGGTACGCGGCGCATCAGCTCAACCTTCACCCCCGGGTCTCTCGGCCTGCGAT